CATACATATGCTCGTACATCCTCCTTCTTTTTGTAAAATTACATTTTAGTGCAATAAAAATAATAACAATGAAGACATTAAAAAAATTAAAATGATAATTTTCTTATTATTTCTCTATTATTTTCCTATTATTTGTTTTAAAAAAGAAATCTGGAGAAATATAAAAGAATTGCTGATAATTTTTTATGTGTAAAATTATACATAATTATGTATGTGTACGAGTAATTTTTTTTACTTCTCTAAACTTGATTTTTTTCTAAAACAAACAATGCGAAAATTATTCCTTTAATTTTATATTTGACATTTTCTTATTATTATTTTTACTACACTAAAAAACAATTTTACAAAAGAAAAAAGAATGAATAAACACACATGGATATATATACATAATTACATATGTAATTATAATAATTATATATAACTTCATATACAATTATATATGTTTATAAATACTTATACATATTTATGCATGAACAATTTTTTACCATATTACTTACTATCAGTTGTTTTGGTAACGAATAAATTCTCGGTTATTTTCTTTACCAATTTTCGCAACCGAAACAATTTCTAAGCCCGGATCCTCATACGGGCAACAGCGCTCTGACACCGAACGCTGATTAGTGAAAAACGGGTGATGGGGGTAAATTTTACCCCCACAACTGGCTTTTCACCAATTAGCGCTCTGTGTCAAAGCGCTGTTGCCCGTATGAGGATCCGGGCTTAAGCATCAAATATCCGCCTTCGATGGCTTGGTGCGCGGGAAGTGGGGACCACGGGAGTGACACTAGGATCGCAGAAATGGAAACATCATGGCCGACCATTGCCACCCGAGTACGGGGATAAAAGTTTGCGCGTGCATGACGAAGTTCGGCGCCATTAAACATGAGTAATTTGTTATTTTGTTGACTTTGTTGTCGATTTACGTGCAAGTCTGCAATGCACAGAATATTGAAATTGAAATTGAAATTGAAATTGAATATTGTAATTGAAATTGGTAAGTGCAATATTAACAAGTCATGTTACGGGTAAAGTTATATTGAGTTTAATGTAGGATACATTGGCGCGTCGTGAATTGCAAGGCTTAGCGCAACCAGTCGTCAGTGACACGGCGACGGAATCGGAGAATGCTGATAAAAAATCTCTGAGGGCTCGCATCACATCGTGCAACGAAGTATACCAGACTGCTATAAAGAAAATCAAAACTGCAGAAATCTGGTCGCTGTACATAGAATGCTTACTGGAAATTAATCGCGATCTGTATTAATCGTTACTGTATTTAAGGCAGTGTAATTGATATTTGTAAGTGCAATATTAACAAGTCATGTTACAGATAAAGTTATTTCGAGATGGAAGAGTATTCTATATTTTGACCAGTGATATTTTCTTCCAGTTACATATATAATCATATATGTAATACATATTACATATATTACATATATAACATAACATATATTACATATGTTGTATATATTACATATATAACATATATAAGAGACAACAAAAAGATGAGAAGCCTTTGAAGACTTTATAGAATGAAGAAAAAGAAGTACACAAATGTAGCAATAAGAAAAACTGTGATATTAATGTAAGTTTCAACGACACTGTGATTTCTTTGTGATTTCTTGGATACTGTCGTGAGCAGGAAATTTACAAGAAAAATTTCAAGATATATATTCTCACTTATACACTTATAATAATGAATTCGCGAAAGAAATATTCTTGTAAATTTCCTGGATGCGGTAATAGTTACTACATGAAAGTCAATAGAGGCATTAACATTTTTATAAATTTCTGAAAAATCACGATCTTTGTATGAAATGGAAAATGATTTGTGGAATTGGCATTTCCGTAAATTGTCAAAGCATGCGTGTTTGCGAGGATCATTTCCGAACAGTAGATTTCGTCAATTTTACAAAGCATTTGTTAAATCCGAACGTGGTACCGAAAAAAATTGAAAAACCGGATAATTTAATTCCCGTATAAATTTCAGGGGTGATCCCGATTGACCACGGCTCGATTGGACACCACCAATCACAGCGACCGGTGCTTATGAACTTTGTAGTCTCAAGCGCTGTGAGTGGCTCGTGTCCAATTGAGCCGTGTCCAACTGGGTGCCACCCCAAATTTCGCCTCCTTTACCAACCGATAAAATTAATCTGAATTACTGTCGCCCATTAAGTATGCCAGTGCATCTACCGTTTATACAGATTCGTTTAACAGCGATGTAAATGCTATTGACACTGTCTATGAAGAAAATCCTACTCATCCATACGACACTAATACGTTTGATATTGCTGTCAGTAATAATGATAAAGATAATAATAATAATAATAATAACAATAAAGCTAATTGTTCTATACACGATTTAAATGATAAGAACGAATGTCAAGAGGTAATATGTATATGCGATGAGGAAACTTGCAATAATAGTAATTCATGTCCTGTTGACAAAGAATAATTGTCCAAATAAAATTTGTTCAAATAGTACCGTTGAAAATTGTGTACAAATAAATAAAAGTTCACAACCAGAGACAGGGGTTTCTTCAGAGACAGAGTCAGAACGATACAAACGCATGTACGCAATTAAACGTCGTATTTCGGTGAAACTATCCAAAATGAAAAGAAAAATGGCAGATGCAAAGAACGCATTATATTAGCAGATTTAAAAAAGAAATACAACAATAATATTTTCGATTGCATTAATGCTAAATTGAACGACGTTACCAAAGCATTCATTAAATCTCTGTTAGTGAATGTTTCGCGTAGTAACTCTGGAAAAAGATGGACAGAACAGGATAAGGCGTTTGCTTTGTCGATGTATAAACGTGGTCCTCTTTACAAATTTCTGCGTGAACACTTCGAGCTGCCATCTCCGCGTAGTTTGCAGCGCATTTTATTTAAGATTCCATTTGAAACAGGAATAAACAAAGCTCTTTTGGAACAGTTAAAAGTTAAAATTGACGAAATGCACGAACCGAATAGGTACGTTTCATTAATTTTTGACGAGATGTCTTTGAGCAAAGGTTTTCATTACGAAGCTCACAAACAAACCATTAGTGGTTATGAGGATTTAGGTGAGTTGGGCCGAACTGCAAATGCAGCTAATCATGCACTTGTTTTTATGATCCATGATATACGGAAATCATGGAAGCAAGTGATAGCTTATTATTTTACGACAGATACAATATCCTGCAGTAATCTAAAATTTCTATTAAAATTAAAGCATATAATTGAACAGCTACAGGATATTGGAATCAAAGTCAAAACTACAGTTTGTGATCAAGGTTCAACTCAACGAAGAGCCTTGTCAGAATTGAGCAAAGAAAATAACGTTAAACAAACATCATACACGTTCATGGTTCGATCAGAAGAAATAGTAATAATCTTTGATGTCCCGCATTTATTGAAAAACACACGCAACGCCTTGCTCCGGTCAGTTATAAAATTTGATACGCATAAAGTTGCTAAATTTGAATATATTCATAATGATTTTAAAGTCGACCAGCAATTTCCATTTAAACTGTTGTACAAATTGAAAGAAAGCGAGTTTAATTTTAAGGACTCATATTTAAAAATGAAGGTACAAGTAGCTGCACGCCAATTGAGCCGGAGCGTTGCAAATGCAATTAACGTTTGGTCCGTTAGTAATATGAATGGCATATTCCAGGCAGAAGCATTACAAACAGCAGAATTCGTTGAACTCATTGATAATCTTTTTGATTCATTAAATGGATGGACCACATTAGCAAAACACGGGAAGGTTTACAACTGCTGTTTGCAAGATAACTCGCCTCATTTAGCTTTATGGAATAAAGTTTTGTCGCAATTACCGAAATGGGAATTATTTGATAAAGGTACAGGAAAAAACGTTACAAACATTTATCATTTCGTCAAAGGTTGGGAAATAAGCATAAAATCGATTATTGCATTATGGAATGCTTTAAAAGTGGACGGTTTAAAATACTTAAATTTAAGGAATCTCAACCAGTGATGCACATTTGGCTCCCCGGCAAGACGGAAAACCGCCCCACCATTTCGCCGCTGCGCGAAAGCGAGCGAGACAGCGAGACAGATCTCAACCAAGATTCCGTAGAAAATTTATTCTGTCAAATTCGACAGCATGGAGTTTCGAATACTGCTCCTACGTGCCATCACCCAGTGAGAAATGACAATGAAATCGACGTCGAATCGACGTCGATTTGACGTCAATTCGATGATTTCGATGTCGAATCGACATCGGTTCGACGTCGATTCCATTGTCATTTCTCACTGGGCAGTCTATAGTCGCGGTGAAAACTGTTGTGTTAAATAATCTCTCTGGGCCAATTACAAAAACCGCAAATTGTAAAAATGATTTCTCTGAAAATGTTTGCAGTTTTCGTAATTTTATTAAAAATGTCACGATTAATGAAAGAAAAAATGAAGAGGACGAAAATGAAGATTTTCAGAAAATAACTGATTGCATTCCAGAATGGAAGGATCTTGAAAAATTAAATATTGATGCTTGTCAAGCTCTTTCTTATTACGTATGTATCCGATTACATTGTTAAAAAAATTCATATTCCCGACAATTGTTCACAATGTCGAGTCGATTTATTTGCTACAGAATAATTACAGCATCATTTGTTCACGTCTTTTAAAGAATACTCTCTTACCACCAATGCACTGACGTATCCAAGTAATCAAGTAATTATGCTCGTACAAAATCTCTACAATATAATGTATAAATTCTGTGATGTAAATGGTCACAAGAGTAAATCAACCCATTGAATCAACCTTTAAAGAAGCATTTTTCAAGAACTGTGTGAGTACTTTCTGTTCACTTCACCGATGTGATAACATAATAGTTGATAAAACTTTACCATTTTTAATATTTAAATATGTTAAGGATAAGCTTCAGAAAAAACCATGGCAATTAAGTTCTGGTCATTATGGAAAAATTAAACATTTTACAGGAGCGTAGTGTTATTTCTTGAAAGCATTTTTTCATAAATGTTGATTTTTATTTTTCGTTACATTTCATATTGTTTTACGTTTTGCAGATAAACGTATATATTTATTTCCACGCACAGAGTTGGAAAAAGTTATTATAAAAAATAATTTATAATAGTTATAATAATAGTTATAATAATAGTTATAATAATAGTTATTATAATAGTTATAATTAGACTGCGAAACTTTATGCAAAATACTTAACTGAATGTTTTGCATAAAATGCATATTTTGCAATTTTATAAATTTACAGATGGCAATCTCAAT